GTTTGGAGAGTTAGATACTAAATATATATGTAAGTCGTTGTGATATTTGAGCTCATAGTTCTTAAATCCTTGTTGTCCTTCCAGCTCATCTGCAGGTGATTTATTAAAAGTGAAAGCCAAGTTCACGTGATTAAGACGTGTCCGCTAGTGCCCTGCAGACCTGACTCAGGGAGCTGGACAGTGTGGGGTGAGTGTTAGGTGAGAGGAGTGGCAGTGGATGGGACGTGGCATTTCCTGCAGGGCTTTGCGGTTTCTCCCCAGACCCTCAGGCTGAGTTGCTTCCAGTCCCCTATCTGTCCTCGTTTTCTGTTCAGGGTCCCCATATACTCCAGGCTTCAGACGTTTCTTCTGCAGTGAGAGCCTGTAGGGCGTTCTCACTGTTGGTGCGTTTGCAATACTAGGAATTTTGCCAGTTGTGACCAGCGACGGTTCAGATGCAGGAAATGCTTTTGCAAAGTCTCCACTTCCGTGGGGCCTCCCAGCCCCGCCCGCCACACCGACCTCAGCGGTGACCCTCTGTGTCCTGCTCCGCGTCCCACGCGCCCCCTGCATTGCATGGGGTGAACCGTGAGGGCCGCGCACGTCTGCCATCTTCCGTGCTCTGTGGGCCTTACACGGAAGGGTTGCACGTGGGTGACAGGTGTGTGTGTGCGCATCTGATGGGGCCTGAGCAGGTCGCAGACACTGAGACCCAGGTAACAGGGGCCGCTAGTCCTTCCCCTTCGCTAGAGGAGGCGCAGGTGACTGTGGGCAGGGCTCTGGCTAACTGGCACTTGCCCCGCAACTGGGGGGGTGTCTCTGGGACCCCCAGAGGACAGAGACACGAGCTGCTTCTCTGGAGCTTGCGGAGGGCAGAGGGAGCGGTCCTGGAAGCCGGCCCGGGTGCCAGGTGGTCGTCCCCCGTCACTCGTGGATTCCGTGTGTGCAAGCTCGCCTACTCCCTGAAATCGGTTTGTGACCCTCAGATCAGTGCTCGGGCCGCTTTTATGGTGGATCAGGGCCGCGGGCAGGCTGTCAGAATCCTGCTGCCGCCCGACGTGCACCTCCCAGCTGAGGGCAGAGGTAGCGCTTGCCTTCCCTGCAGACACACGGCCTCTTCGCAGCCTGTTTCCTGTCGAGGTGGGTTTCTCTTTGCATTGTTGTGCCCTTTGCTGGTGACGTGGCTGTGGAAACGGCCTCAGGCATGGTGCCAGCGCGCTGTCCAGTGTGCCCAGGCAGCACGGTCCGACGGAGAAGGCGTGCGGATGCGCTGCGAGCCCGGCCTGCGCTCTGGCGCTGTTGGCTGCGAGTTCAGTGTGAAGGAAGCAACGGCGCCTGTGCAGTGACAGAACCGCGCGTGAAACAAGGCTAAGTGCTCATCGGCCGATGAAAGGCCTGTGGCCAGACCCTGTATTTCCCCCGAAAGCAGTGGTTTCCCGCTGGCTAAGTCCATCTTCCTGGGGCGTGTACAGCGCGCGTGCACCGCGTTGGACTTGGCTGGCGCCGGGAGGCAGAGAGTGGGCCCCGGCTCCTGGAATGAGCCCTGGGCTTGTTTCGGCTGAAGGACTGACGAGGTGGCCTCAGAGCCAAGCTTCGTAGGGCTTGGAGGTAAAGAAGCGAAGCCCGGATGGACTGGCACGGGGAGACTGTGGGTGGATGCTGTCGACGGAGGGTGGGCCTGGGTGGGGGGCCGCAGGCAGAGGGCCAGGACGGCTGCGGGGCAGACGGGGAGGCAGCGCCCGCGGCACAGCACGCCCGGCCCCGCCGGCAGCCCGCGGGTGCGGAGGCGATGCCAGGGCCCCCCCCCGCGTGCGGCCGTGGGCGCCTTCCCAGAGGTTCCACGCACCCTCAGGCGAGATCGGGAACCGAGCAAGTCGCGGTGTAGACGCGGCTGCGTAGAGGCCCCTGCAGGCATCGGAGGAGGGGCGGGGTCTCGCTGCACAGACACGCGTGCTGTTCCGGCGTACAAGCCCCGCCCCCTTTGCCGGGGGCGAGTGGGACAGGGGCCCAGAGTCAGCCAGGTGTGCGGGTTAGGTTGGGGGGGCGGGGAGGGAGTGAGGGCCGGTCTTGAGATGCTCCGCCTTCCGCAGAGCGGAGGGAGCGCTCACTTGCAGTTCCCTTGTTCTCCGCCGGCGCCCACGGCCCCTCCGTTCCCGGTTCCCCTGTCCTGCGATTGTTGCTGGCCCGGCCCGAGGCTGGCGGCAGGCACCCTGTGGCTCGGTACAGAGGGAGCCGCTCCCCTCGGTTCTCCTGCGAGGGGTGGGGCTGAGCAGCTTCCCCTGATGCTCTGAGAGGTTCCTGCGCAAGGCCGGCCTTCCTGGCGTCCCCCCTGCCCTGCACCGCGTTCCCTGCCAAACTCTCCTCCGGGCTGGCGATGGAGGAGCCGCCGGTGGGACACGTCCACGCTGCTGGCCTTCTCCTTCGGGTATGTCTGGGGCCGCGGCGAGCGGCCGCCTGGGGTCAGCCCGAACGGAGCTGTGCTCCGAGGGTAAAATTCACGTTTCGTCCATTTCGTCTTTGTGTTTTTTCAAATGTGAGTATTAGAAAATTTTAAATTGTACGTGTGGCTCCCCGTAAATTTCTGCAGGACAGTGTTTCATTGCTCCCTTTGAATTTCTAGGAGTAATTTGAAAACGCTGTTCCATGGTACTACTTCTAAAGACCAAATTCTTAGGTCCACTTGTCTTTGTAATTCCGCGGAAGTTGCCAGTGTACCTGAATGTAGCTCTTGTAAACCAAAGGAGTACTGTCGTGAAGACGAAAAATCTCTCTGCGGAGAAAAAATTCTCCTAAGAAGTTTGCTCTTTTCTTGTGGAAATTCTTGTGTAATTCGGTGTCACAGGCAACATTCATTTGCACTGGGGGGACCGTAACCGAAATAAATGTTAGCGTTAGCTCACGTTTTGGACTAAGTCCAGTCGGATTTTTAAATGCGTGATTATTTTTCACAGGAGCCCTTGACTCTATACCGCCTTGAGCCATGATGAGGTTTCCCTGTCCCTGAACCTGGGTGAACAGCTGTGTGTGAGGCAGCCTTAGTGAGTACGACTGAAGAGGGGTTCTTTCTAACTTCAGAAACACTTTCCGAGTGCCTTCTCTCTGCTCGGTGTTAGCTTTTAGCAACACAAGCGAAACACAAAAGAAGTGAAAGACGTGGCGCTCACGTCCTCAAGAAGCTCATCGTCTGGTTTAGAAGCTCGTAGCGGACATTCTAACATCCTGCTGGGGAGAGATTAATACCTGACATGTAGCAGCTAAAGCATTGCAGTCTGACAACTGTTTATCACCAAGTGCAGATTCAGGGTCACTCTGAGTCAGCACCGCTTTCGCGTGTGTTCTCTCTCGGGGGTTGTGCGTGGCCAGCAGCGGGACCGTCGCCCTGTGTGAGACGCAGGGGCTGTGGCTCAAGGTGCGGCCGAGGGGAGGTTACAGCAAGGGCGTCGGAGGGCTTCTGAGCTGCTGGAAACAACCAGCCTCCTTCGGGGGCTCTGTCTGTCTGTGAGTCCAGTCTTCCCGTTGTAGATGTTGGAGCATCTTCAGGAGAAGGGTCCTTGTGGGGAGCGTTTACAGGATAGATGGCCCTGGGTTTGGGTCCTGGAAGAACCCGGAGGCTTTGGCTCGGAGAGTTAGGCACACAGGGTGTTTTAGGGGGCGCAGTCGGGGTGGTGGAAGGGACCCAGGAGCTGGAAAAGAAACTGATCCGTGGAAGAAAGAGTGCCTTATGTTTGCTTGAAAGCTAATGATTTCATAGATTTCACTTCCCAACTGTTGCACTAATTTGTTCTAGAGCTTATCGTTCCCGAGGGGCTCTGCAGTGAGTTTGCTTTGGAAGGCTTAATCGCCTGCAGCTTCCAGAGACTTGGCCCTGTTTGAGTAGGCGGGTGGGAGGCGACTGACTGTCTCAGATAAAATGATGATTTGCCAGATGTCATTGTGGCCGAAGTTATTTCTCTTGGCTTCGTGTTGTATAAATGCAGTGCAGTCGTCCGTGAGCTTAGCCATTCAGACGGGACAGTGAGTGCTTTTGGATGGGCGTGTAGAAAGTAGGATGCACCACATCTGTCTGAGCGGTACGGTTTCTCAGGGGGGCTTTCGCACGCTCGCAGCGAGCAGCCTTATCCACCTTCCTGGCGGGCAGAGTGAGTTTCACCATCACCATTTATTTCCAGTTGAGGAGACGGAGGCTCAGAGTCACATGGCCCCTGAGTGAGGGGGCCGGAGCCGGACACAGCCCTGGGCCCCCCAGACCGCGGTCCTTCCCCTCATGTGACACCCACCGACCGTGCTGGCCCTCGGGCTGCTGGGTCGCCTGGTCCCCAGCCTCGTCATGAGGAACTGAGTCGGGAGGAGCACGTCTGCTGATCAGAGCTCACACCCTTTCCCAGCTCTCTCTGCGTGTAACTGACTTCTGCCGACTCCCAAGCAGCCCCCTCAGTCCCTGTGGCTGCGACAGCTCTCAGAGCGCTTGGGGACTCTGGTGCATTTAATTAGCCAGTGATAAACTTAACATGAGAAGCTTTGCATTTTAGTTAGCTCTGTTACGGTGGCATTGCTGTTGCGGTTCTGTTAAACCAGACCGAAGAAGAACAGGCGAGAAGCATCTTCTGTCACTAACTTTACTCTTAACCTAACCTCTAGTCGGGTTCCTTGAATTACTCTCATTACCTTTATTCTGTTGTGTACGTCGACTATTCCATTGACTGGACTTGTAGCCGGCCAAGAATGGGAGGGCTGCCAGTAAGAAAGCTGTTGCAATAGTCCTGGTGGACCCGGGGCTCGGACGAGGTGTAGCCGGGGAGGTGATGCGGCTGCCCTGTCTCCGTGGTTGGGGGGTGAGGGGGGGACGTCAGGAGGGGGCCAGGAGCGCCACGTGTGCCACGTAAGGCTCCCTCCCTCCCTAGCTTCCATATCGCCAGTGGGGAGGGGAGAGCGGGCCTGGGTACCCTGGGTACTTCTAGGAAGACCCTCTCTCCCCCTCCCACCCCCCAGGACACGGACGGCCCCGTCACACCATCGCACACCTGCTTCGAGACTGTCCCCACACTCACTCCGCTTCCCTGTGTGTCGTCAGCATCCTGAACGGCGCCTGGCGCGTCAGCGTCCGAAAGGGTGAATGAATGGAGCCCTCGTCGTTAGAGAGCGCGTTTCCAAGGCAAGGTCACCAACTGTTCTGCAAAAGCAATGAGATTATCTTGATAAATTGTAGAAGAGCGTCAATGGCTTTTTTTTTTTTTTTTCATCTCATTTGGTGGTTCATTTCATTACAGCACGGTTTAATTGATAGCTCCTAGTAATTACAAAATTATCCCAATGGCTATAATAGTTAGAATAATAATAGTTGTTGGTGTGATACCATTAACAGTAATTTGATTGAATTCTTAGTTCCTCTGTGAGATAAATAGCTGTATCCCCATGTTATAAATGTTAAAAAAAAATTATAAATGCTTCAAAGCATTTTAAAAATGTTATAAATGTAAGAGAGAGTGGGCGGGGGGCAAGTCCTTTTCACAACAGAGTTATTCTCCAGGGAGATCAGAGACCAGTCCAGCGTGGGACACAGGCGTGTACTTTACCTGAATAGCACGAGGCCTGTGAGGGGCTCCAGAACGATGGGAGGGCTTACTGCAAGGGGGTCTGTGTGCTCAGCCAAGGGGGCTGGAGCTTCGGCTGTGGCCTGGGGGTGTGAGCTGCCGTGTCTCAATAGGGACAGCACCTTAGGACGTGCCTTTGCCCGTACAGCTCTGCGTTGTACCCTGAGCAATCCAGCAACTGCTTCAAAGCATCAACGGAAAAGTTTAATGATGTTCTAGCTACACGTTCACCGGAAGAGAGACAGACACAGACGGGGAGCCCCTTCCTAGGTATTTCTCAAAACTTAACTTCTCGTGAGTTACACAGTTTGGGTGAGAATTAAGGCAGTTTTGAAAGGAGAGATGGGACCCCTGAAAACTGGCCATCCCGCAGAGCTGCTTGAGGTCTAATAAGTCGAGTGAGGCGCTGTGCTGGACAGGACTTGACTCTTCCACCTGACTCTGTCACCGCGTGCCCCGGTCACATGCTTTGCAGAGGGTGATTCCCGGGCCGACGCCCCGGCCCTGGAGCTCAGCCCCGAACCTCTTCCCCGACCCGGCCCACTGACACTTTGCTCAGGTCCACACGCTAGTGGCAGCCTGGCCCGGAGTCAGAGTTAAACTTTAAAAGTTGTGTAATCTGTTGTCACCAGTGTGTTTCTAACTTCTGGAAGCCTTAAAAGTAATCCTTGTTGTCGTTAATTTCTGAGAAACGGGGGGGGGGGGGGGGCCGGGCCAGGCTGTAAAAGTCATAGGGAGGGAGGGTTGTAGATCGAGGTCTGATACTGGACCTAAAAAAGTGACGGAAGCCTGTCTCTGAATTGCCGGTTATCAGGCTGACTCCAGGAAGAGTGAATCACTTCACTGCGATGGCAAAACAAGCAGTGCTCCTTCTCGCGGGTGGAGAGTGTCACCCCAGAGAGCCTCTGACCCGGCCCTAGCGAGCCTGGCTGCCGTCTCCCTTGCTGTTAAGGTTGAGGTACAAAGCAGTTAGAGCCCCAGTTTCACTGCGAGCCTCCTCAGAGCCACCTGTTCACTTAACAAGCTTGGGGACCTCCTGGGGTCTCACCTTTCCTTTCCTTGTGTGCAGCTTAAAAATCCTCTCGTTGGGGCTTCCCTGGTGGCGCCGTGGTTGAGAGTCCGCCTGCCGATGCAGGGGACGCGGGTTCGTGCCCCGGTCCGGGAGGATCCCACATGCCGCGGAGCGGCTGGGCCCGTGAGCCATGTCCGCTGAGCCTGTGCTCCGCAGCGGGAGAGGCCGCAGCAGTGAGAGGCCCGCGTACCGCAAAAAAAAAAACAAAAAAGAAAAGAAATCGTCTCGCTGTTAATACACGTTGTGCTGCTGCTGGTACTAAGCTGAGTCTCCAAATAAAGGGAAATGGGGAGTTTTGTTTTCAGTTAGGTGTTTTAAAGGAGCCTACAGCTGCAGCTCTCTACCTTTGCTGGCTTATGTAAGTATTAATGATAGCAGTCACACGGAAGGAAAAGCTGTGTGACTAGTACAGCAGTCTCATAGCGCACGCGCTTTGCTTTTCCTTCCAGCCATCTGAGATTGTTTTGACTCTGACAATTTCCTTACAATAAAACCCTCAGAATTGTTATAGAACAGAGAAGTGAAGTGATCATTACTGGTTTGGCAGCAAGAGTTTAAAAACGTGAAGTCGTTTTCCCCATGGTTTGTAAGTAAGGCATAGCTGTTGTTGAAAAATGGAAAATGGAGAATTGTAACAGGAAAAGCATTCTGAGTCTCGCTGCGCACAGCCATTCTGAAGTTTCTTTTTGGTTCCTTTTTCTGCATTTGGTTTTCTGAACTCACGCTAGTTATCAGAGTGCCTCCACCATTTTGTGTTGTATCCGGTTCTTTTTATTCGGCTTTGTAACATCAGAATTTTTCTGTGTTTCACAGATTTCATGAAGGTGTCACACATGCATTCATTCTTTCAGTGGCTGAGAGGCTTTTCCATGCTGGGTGCTGCGTGCTCTGTCCTCAGAGTCCGGGGGTACGGGAGTGGGAATAATCTGGATCGTGATCGGGACTGCACAGGGCTGTGAACTTTCAAGTAACTTTGATCTGAATCTGAAAGCTCAGTTCTCTCTCAGCTGCTTCCTCATTTTAAATCAAAGCAGTCATATTGGTTGATTTTATTGTCTATTCCATCTAACTTGGTATGGATCAAAGTCCCTCCGTTTAGGAGTCCGAGCCTCAGCTGGGTAGGTCGGGAGAGGAGGGCAGAGCAGTGCCCGGGAGGGCTGCTCCTGCGCGGGGACTGTTCTCGGGGCAGGGTTCATTGCCGGCGAGGTGTCCCACGAGAGACTTGGTCACCGCAGTGCACAGACTGGGACTGAGTGAGTGAGAATCTGGACGTGTCGGGGCCGGGGTCAGAGCTGGAGGAGAGAGACTCGGACATGACTGTCGAGCCGGGGACATTCAGCCTCCTCCTGGATGGAGGAGGGGACATCCGCCCCTGAGGACCGAGGACTGAGGCCGGCTGGGGGGAGGCATGGCTCCCCTGTCACTGGCAAGGGTGCCCCGGGTCCCGGCTTGCCCGGCCCATGGCGGTTGGCGCCTTGGCCCGTCTGCTGCAGAAATCAGTGCCGCTCACTCCCTGTGACCGGCGAGCCAGCGGGTCGTCACTGCCCGCGTGGCTGGCTGCGCGCTGCCGGGCTTCCCGAGTGCGAGCTCGTCTGGTGGGCTTCCGCAGGTCCGGTGGGCGCTGCCCACTGACTGCTGTCCTGAGGGTGGGCCGAGGCTCAAGCAGCCACGTCCTGGCAGACATGGTCTTCGTCCCGCATCTGTCTGCAAGCCCGTTCCCCGAAAGCATGCTGCCTCCCCCTGCCTGAGTCCATAGCTCTAGCCCAGCAGGAGGCCTTCTTTTTTCAGATTTGATACTTTTATTAAATTTAATTAACTTATTTCATTGAAGTGTCGGTGATTTACAATGTTGTGTTAGTCTCAGGTGTACAGCAAAGTGATTCACTTATACACACGTATATGTGTTCATTTTCAGATTCTTTTCCCTTATAGGTCATTAGAAAATATTGACTGTAGTTCCCTCTGCTATTCAGTAGGTCCTCGTTGTTTATTTTATATGTAGTAATGTGTATCTGTTAACCCCAAACTCTAAATTTATCCCTCCCCCTTCCCCCTTCGGTAACCATAAGTTTGTCCTCTATGTCTGTGAGTCTGTTTCTGTTTCGTAGACAAGTTCGTTTGTGTCATATTTTAGATTCCACATATACGTGATATCATATAATATTTGTCTTTGTCTGATTTACTTCACTTTGTATGATAATCTCTAGGTCCATCCATGTCGCTGCAAATGGCATTATTTCATTCTTTTTTATGGCTGAGTATTATTCCATTGTATATATGTGTACCACATCTTCTTCATCCATTCATCTGTTGATGGACACTTAGGGTGCTTCCATGTCCTGGCTATTGTAAACAGTGCTGCAATGAACATTGGGGCGCATGGATCTTTTCGAATGCGGTTTTCTCCGGATATATAAGCCCAGGAGTGGGATTGCTGGATCATACGGTAGCTCTATTTTTAGTTTTTTAAGGAGCCTCCATACTGTTCTCCGTAGTGACCGCACCAGTGTACATTCCCACCGGCAGTGCAAGAGGGTTCCCTTTTCTCTACCCGCCCTGCAGCACTTCTCGTTTGTAGGTTTCTGAAGATGCCCGTTGTGACCGGTGCCAAGCGGTACCTCATGGTGGTTTTGATTCGCATCTCTCCGATGATTAGTGACGCTGAGCGTCCTTTCGTGTGTTTGTTGGAGGCGTGTTTTTAACTTCATACTGAGCGAGAATATACAGACAGGAAATGTACGTACTCTGCTGCCTGCATGCTCACAGCAGCAGCGCCCAGATCAAGAAAGAGTTTACGAGCGTCCTCTAACTTCCTTGGTGTCTCCTGCTGGGGACCGCGCTTCGAGAGCCACTGGTAGGAGGGCTTGCTCTCAGTCATTCCTGGGTGTGGGAAAGGCATTAGGGAGGGAGGGGATGAGCCCGTCAGAGGGTCCGCTGCCACGGCTGTGGGTCCTAAACCCTGCCCGCCACCCCTCCTCTCCGTTTATGCTTCCCTTCTTTTCATCAAGGTAGGGTGAAGAGGCAGAGGGAGAGTCATTAGATAGGACTGATGAGACTGGACTTTTGGGGGCACTGTGTTACGGCCTTCATTTTTTCTCTCTGCAAACCCACGTCTCAGCTGTGGCTTTTGAGTTGATTTTTCTTTACACACAGTGATCACTGTTTTTTGTCACCTGAAGGGTGACACTTTAATTCTCCCAACTCTGAGTCAGGGATGGGGATGGAGTCGTCCTTAGCCACCACGTCTTGGGGGCTGGAGGTGTCCCCGGAGCGCCACGCTGGAAGGACTGGAGAGAGGTCCTGGCTTGGACCAGGACCTTGAGTGCCAGGAACCTTCCTCGTGTGGTCTAAGTGGCACTTCTGCTCTTCTCTGGGACCACTGGGTCCAGTCCTGGGCTGTGAGGTTGGAAGCGCGGCAGATGCAGCTCACAGACCTGAACCAGGAGCCTGCCTTCTGCGCACCTGGCCCGTGGGTTCACGCTGCCACGCTGCTCCATCCTCCCTTCCAGCCTGTGACACAGCTCGCCCGTCGGGGCGGTGTCCGTGAGGGCGGCAGCTGCTCCAGCCAGCGTGCAGAGCTGCGGGTGGGCTGCCGGGGCCAGCGGGTGACCGGGGACCCTTCTCCCAGCGTGTGAGCCTGGCTGAGCCGTGTGGGGAGATGGAGAGCTTGACCGTGAGGAGGGGCCGCGATGAATGGTCGCGTGCATGTTACCCTCTGTGGAAGAGCAGGGGATCCAGCGTGGTAACGAGCGATGGAGCCCGTAGGAGAGGATTCCGTTTTGGGAAAGAGAAGAAGGAGGTCATGGGAGGCGGGGTTACCTTTCTCTCACCTACTCCACGCACTGCTCTCGTGTCTCAGGAGAGTCGATATGACAGTATCATTATTACTTGTCTTTCCATTTACTGAAGAAATTTTAAAGCTCCCATTTAAATGTAAAGAAGTTTAGAGCCATATTGTGGCATCCCCTTTGAGTACAGTGGTAGTGGTTTTGATGTACATCTCTACTTTATTACATACAATCAGATTTTGGACTGTGGAATTAGGGTTCTTAAGGGGGAAACATTAAATGGAAACGTTAAATGGTAAAATAGCACGAGTCACGTTGATTGGAGTGAACGCGAGATGTTAAAGCTTCTAAAGGAACTTCTGCTGCGCTGAGTAAGAGAGGGAGAGGGAGAGTTTGAGTGCAAGCGGCGCCCTCTGGTCAGAATACACTGTCAAGGGGCAGGCAGCTTTCTGTGGCTGGATTCATGCCCTAGTTTTAATGTGTAAATACTCAGTGGTGCTAACCCAATTAAAAGGTCATGTGTGAGACCTGCACAGAGGGAACTGGTCTTGAGACCCAGTTTTTATCCTCAAAGAATGTATGATCTGGGTAGCATCTTAAGATGCATACACTTCTCTACTGCCAAGCAGTTATGTGTTAAGTGTTAAAAGTGTGTTTTTGGAAGATCACGGCAGAATTCAAGCCTGGGACGTCTTCACGGGGAAGCTGGGATGTTCACTGGGGAAGTGGTTCTCCAGCAGGTGCTTCCCAGGCCAGGAGCGGCAGCTCCTGGGAACTAGTTAGAACCGCATTCTCAGATTCCACCCCGGATCTGCTGAATTGGAAACCGGGGGTGGGGTTGGCCCATCACTGGGCATTTAGGAGCCTGTGAAGTTTGAGCACCGCCTACGAGGGAAATGGAGGCTCAAGCTGTGCTGGCTGAAGTTAGGGAGAAACACTGATGAAGAAAGGAAAAGCACCGGTCGCTGAAACACAGCTTAAGTCTCGATACAAAGACTACGGGGCACCATCCTGATTCCTTCTGTTGCTCATCCTGGCATGTTAGTTGAAGGCTGAATTTGGGTCAGAGTTTCCCATGCCAGTCAGCTCAGTTTCTGTTTAAGGGGTTCTTTCCCAATGCAGTTCCATCCTTATTTCATCCAAATGTCCTCTGTAACCACGTTGTCATTTTCTTATAATTCTTGTCGTTTAAAAGTGTTCGCATCAGGGCTTCCCTGGTGGCGCAGTGGTTGAGAGTCTGTCTGCCGATGCAGGGGACACGGGTTCGTGCCCCGGTCCGGGAGGATCCCACGTGCCGTGGAGCGGCTGGGCCCGTGAGCCATGGTCGCTGAGCCTGCGCGTCCGGAGCCTGTGCTCCGCAACGGGAGAGGCCATGGCAGTGAGAGGCCCGCGTACCGCAAAAAAAAAAAAAAAAAAAAAGTGTTCGCATCGTCTGGATAGGGGATACAATTGCATTTTTATAACAGTGTTTGAAGCCTTGGGAAGATGTAAAATGTTAGAATGATTGAACGGCTTTGCAGCTAACTGCTAGGAAGGTGTATGTCCAGAATACATATTTAGAAAGGGTTTATGTCCTTTCATCAGGGCCTGGATAAATAAGTTTTAGAGACTGAAGTTTTAAAAGTGAATTTGTTTTTTTACACATAGAAAGTGGGATGTGTTCCCCCAGTGTTTCCTCTACATATTTTATAGAATCTAGCTACTTGGGCATTTTTAAAGGCCCTGCCCCCATCCGCATGGAACGATGCTTTCATTTCTGCCGTGATTTTAGACAAGGCAAGCCAGGCCCTGGTGAGTTGGAGGCATCCGCCTGGGACCTTGCTTGGGCCTCCTGTCAGGTGGGCGTGATGGTGCAGGGGGTTCCTTCTGACCTTTGCTTGCTGGGCTGCCTGGGCCGAGGTGGACAGGTTAGAGCTGCTGAGGTGCTCTCTGTTCCTCTTGTAAAAAAGCGAGAGTGGTTTTCCAGACAGTTCAGAGGAAGAAAAGAGGAACCCGTGAGCTCACCGTGGCCGCTGAAATTAAGCCTTGAGCTCCAAATGTGTTCCCTCCCTGGAGAAATGGATTCACTTTCTCCTAACCTGGTCCTGTCTGTCATTTGAGCCTGTGCCGCAGAGGAGCTGGTCACCATCGTAGGTGTGTTGCAGTCTTTCTCTCTCAGAGGAGGGTGTAGTTAAGATCTTCTGTGGGTTTGTTACAGAGGAACTTTAGGGTCACATGTACAATAAAGTCTTCAGGTAACTGAGACTTCTGCCACAAGACCGTTAGACCTCGTCACGCTTGCAGAGTGAAATATATGTGGCTGCCATGTGTTGATGCACTTAAAAGCCCTCTGAAGCCTGTCGATGAAAAATTAATCAACAGTCGATCTACGAAAGAAATAGAAAATTTTATTCGAGCCAACCTGAGGATTATAACCCGGGAGACGGTCTCTCAGAAAGCTGTGAGGACCGCCCCGCCCGTCAGAGGTCACGGCACAGTTAGATACATTTGTGAGACAAAGGGTTACACGTGGGCTGACGTATAGACAGTTTACACAACCCAGATCTGCACAAAGAGTTAGTAGAGCGCCATCCAGACCCCGCACAGGATTAAGAAGGAATGTAGTCTCCTAAGGAGGTGTGGTCAGTGCAGACACACGGCACTTGCTGGCGGGGAGCAAGGAGGCCCACACGGGCAGAGGAACATTTTATGTTTAAATTTTTCTCGTCTTGCCATGAAGTATGGATTTTATTTCCTCAAACTAAAGACCCAGCTGAGGGCTCATCAGATTTTAGGGCTCTGCTAATATTTTCTTCAGCCAGATTCCAGGATGACAAGAGGAAAACAAGTTGGGACAGACCCTTGTAGTTTTTTGTATCAAGACTTGACCTGTGTTTTAAGGACCAGTGCTTTTTATTTCTTCTAAAAGAGAAAATTATTTTTTCCATGAATTCACAATACTATGGAAAAATCATATTGATATGTATGATATATCGATATGTCATATAAAATGTGTAAAATATAAATGTGTATCATAAAATAGCATATATATCACAACATATAACAAAAATGTAAAATATGTATTATAAAAATCATATGGAAATATGTAATATATCATAAATGCACAGAATATAAGTATCATATAAAATATATTTCTTAAAATATAACAAAAATATAAAATATGTGTCATATAAAATATTGAAGTATGTGATATATCAGTATATATCAATATATCACAGATACATCATATTGATATATGATACCATAGTATTATTCTCATTTTACAGATGAAGTATATTCATGTCAGAAGTCAAAACTGAACTGCTTTTGTTCTTGGGTTCTGCTAGTTCAGGGCTCTCTCAGCTTGAATATGCTTAAGAATTAAGAATCCAGTGCAAGAGTTGTGAGGGTTTATGGCTTCTCAGCTTATTATTGCTTTTCTTGCATAAATAAATTAAATTCTATACTGGTATTAAAGCCAGAATGCGTCCCTGCCCACTTGCCCCCATGTCGCCCCCTGTGCATTAAGCCCTACGTCCGTCTGCTGAGGGTAACCATCTCTCTCCCTTGCTCTGGGGCGTTTTGCAAGGTTGCAGAGTAGGACCTGTCAGCTGACACTTGGTCACAGGAGAGCCATTCACAGGGTGGTGGCCAGTGTCAGAACAACCTTGCAGCTGAAGGCGAGTCACTGCATTTCTCTCACAGCCCTGTGAGCCCTGTGAGCCATATTCAGAGGTCTTGTGATGAATTAATTGGCTACGACATCATCCCCAGCAGGGCCACAGATGGAGTGAGTCAGTCCGAGCTGCTCAGCCGGTTGAGTGTTTTTGTCTTTTGTAACCGGAGCACAAACCCAGGAACAGAAGTAGGAAGTGGGACTTGGACTTGTCAGATTGTAATGGCTTTGCTGAGAGCATGTTTTACAGTGTGAGGGATGCGTCTGACTTCCCAAATCATCGGAGGGCTTAATTTACCTAATAAGCGAATGTTCCTGTTTTGTTTCTGTTTTTTTGTAACTTCTGGAAGAGGAAATTAGTAGGCTGCAGCCGGGGAGCTCGTGTCACCTCCCGCATCTGTACGGGGAGTGCAGGGATCATTTAGCACAGCTGGTCACTGAGGAAATCCTCCAACAACGGGACCTTCCAGGTCCACGCGGAGAGTCAGGACCACCCAGAAGAGGACTGGCCTGCCGGGGAGATGTGTGGCTGCTCAGCCAGGACCACAGCCCGGCCGGGGGGCCGGCGGGACGCGGCCGGGGGTGTGAGCGATGGGCAGACGCACGGGACACTTGCGCGCTCGAGGATTTGGAAGTGCGCCGGGGTGGGAAGGGTCACCGATCCCCCGGAGCTCGACAACAGGTTTGAAACTTCAGTTCTATCTCAGAATCTCAGAGAAATATTTCTGTAATTCACTGGGCACCAGGGAGATAAAAGCGTGTTGATGGGAAACTTGAGTTTGCAGACAGGCACGGGGTGGCTGGTAGGTGTGCAGACACGTCCTCCCTTTACGGAAAAAGTGGAGGATGGGCACTTCCTAGTGGCTGTTTGGATTCTGCTGCCCTGTGCTTCCTCCTGACCCTTCCTTTGCCCCTGCTGGAGCCACCTGCAAGCAGTGGTGCCGCCTGTCCTGTGTGGAAGCTTGAGCAGTGGTCCCACTGGGGCTGTCGGGGAAAGAAGGTACGGCCCCGAAGGATCAGCACGCTGACAGATGGGGCGCGGGGCCAGGGGCCTCACTTCTCAGTCTGGACGGTGTGTGGAGGGCTGGGCGTCTCCAGCTGGAGGTGGGTGGTGACGGAGAGCCCGGGCTTCCTCTTCTGGAAAATCCTTTCCACCGGCAGGAAGGAAGGCGCCGGGATGAACCGGGGCTCCTAATGCAGCCCATCAAAGGAATAGCATTGTTCTGGCTGTATTCTTTGTTTTTCCTGATGTGCAAATAGTGGTTTATTCCAAACTCCTGCTAATTCTGTGGTACATATCTCTCAATTACTTCACCGTAAATTTAATAATACCTTTTTGGGGAAGAAAAACATGTTTTTTATCTTTGGTAATCAGTAATTACATACTTTTTTTTTTGCCCATATAACTTATTTATTTATTTTGGTTTTCATTCTGTACTTTTGTTGATTTTTTAAATTATTTTTTATACAGCAGGTTCTTATTAGTTATCCATTTTAATACATATTAGTGTATACATGTCAATCCCAATCTCCCAGGTCATCCCACCACCACCCCCCAGCCGCTCTCCCCCCTTGATGTCCATACGTTTGTTCTGTACATCTGTGTCTCTATTTCTGCCCTGCAAACCCGTTCATCTGTACCATTTTTCTAGGTTCCACATATGTGAGTTAATATACGATATTTGTTTTTCTCCTTCTGACTTACTTCACTCTGTGTGACAGTCTCTAGGTCCATCCACGTCACTACAAATGACCCAATTTCGTTCCTTTTTTATGGCTGAGTAATATTCCATTGTATATATGTGCCACATCTTCTTTATCCATTCGTCTGTCAGTGGGCATTTAGGCTGCTTCCATGACTTGCTGTATTCTTTTGGGTTGATTATTTCATCCATTTTGGAAGAATTCATTCATTTTATTAGTAGTAGCTCTTAATTAAAACACTACTTGTAGAGAATTTTAGTGCATATCAGTGAAACAGAAAAGTCCTTTGGGAAGTGCATTTCATTCCAAAATTTTAGTTAGATAGACAGTGAGGAGGGCCAAAGAGTAAGCTCTGATTCTCGTGATTAGTGTAAGTTTCTAAATTCGCTTAAATGTTTCTGCTTTTTTCCTTGTAGAAGTTTTCTCAAAATTACTATGACTCATAAACTGTTTATCCCATAAAGGTAGTTCTTGGTTGACAGATAATCAGCATATGATTTCTGTCATGTAAAAATTGTTGTATTTCTTCAATGGAAACTTAGTAAAATGGTATATAGTCCCCCGCAGGGTAGGCGCTCATAGATTGAAAATCCCGTGCTGTCCACGCAGTCACAGAGATTCGCCTGAGTGTTCAGATACGAGTTTCACTTGTGGCTGTCCGTGTCCGTTTCTCATCTAGAAAGGACGGCTGAGTGGCAGGAGGAGCCGGTGGTGGGTTGACACTCAGTCGTCTCGAGTCTTGATCTGGATCCGATCCTGATCCCAGCTCTGCTGCCCGGAGGCCGTGTAACCCTGGCGAGTCCCCTCCTTTTCTGGGTCTCACTCTCAACTGTTCAGCTGTGTAGCTGGTTCAGACTACTTCTGAAATTCTCTCCTTCTCTGAGATTGTACAGGGTAACGCCAGGACCTTCTGAACTTCCTATTCCTGTTATTCAGACAATTCTAGATTCCCCCAAGTAGGTATTTGGGGTTCCAGGGGTGGCACCCACATGAGAAGATGGCGACGTGCAGGGCCACACCAATTCTTACAGAACTTCTAAAGTTTTCGGTATGAACTTCTGCTTCTCACTTTCAGTGAATTTGCTGTTTGAGGCAGGATTTTAATCATTTTTATGTAAACAGTACTTTTAACTTAACAAGAAGTTTTCACATCCATTAGCTCCTTTCCTTAGTTTAATTTCCTTTAGATTTACTCCTCAGGTGCTGAGACGTTCTTAGACTTCTGTACAGTGGTGACGTATGTGTCATTTAGTTGGAATTCATCTCTCGTTGGACCAGTTGTCTTGGTCCCTTTCCCACTTTCTCTTCCCCTTTGTACAGTCTGGAAAAGGTGTGCGTTGTGTGCAGTACTGTGCTTGGTTTCCTGAGTTTCTCTAGGACTCGGGTCGGTCTCAGGATGGAGTGAATTGTCGTTAGGCGCTTGTGCCCCAAGGATCTGGCTCCAAGTGCTCACGAGTTGTCTGTGTGTCCAGGTCAGGTGGCAGCCAGCCAGGTGTGACTCCCAACACCTGCTTTGCTCTTGGGTTGCCTTAAATCCACAGTTTCGGGTGGTCGTCTACGCTGAGCTCGTTGATGAGCAGTTTCTCCTTTTTGCTTTTTCCTTCTCTCCTCATGATTTTCCACTTAGGCAAAGGTGAAGAGAAAGATTCCACAAACACGGTGGAGAGGTTCCAGGTACCTAACAGTGGCACGGTGTAAACCTGGCGCAGTGCAGGGCAGAGAGAGAAATGTTCGATCTTCCCACCGTGGTTCTTGTGGAATGAAACATTTCAGACCTGGGAACTCTGAACTACGATGCTGGGCTTCAAATGTAATTGCTTCCAATCTGCTTTCTTAAAGCTGCTAATAACTTGATTTTCCCAGCTTTCCCAGCAAGTTAGATACATCCATAGGGCTGCTTATATGCGGACTCTGGGAGGATTTGCCACGTTTATCCGTGAACTGCTGTTTCTCTGATGGCAGGAGAAAATTCGACACATCTTGGCCCTGAAAAGTGTACCCCACACATGCCGAGGAGGAACTGAAACAGCCCTTCAGAGTCAGTGGTGCCTGAAGTTTCACATCTTGACATTTAGATTCAGAAGAGATCCGTTGTACTGCTTTACGGGCACCAGGACGGAGGGAGCAGAAGTAATGAGTGTAGATCTCTGATTTATCTACGATTTGGATGAACTAATTTTATTGAACAAGGTAGAGGCTTCGCTTGTCTGTGGAAGGATCTTACGGAGAAGACAAATACAGAAACCGGGCTGTGTTTTCCCCAGTGCGTGCCTCACGGAGATATGCTGGCTGTGACTGCACCACTGTCTTTGTTTAGGGTACTTGGGGTGTTCTGAAGATTTTAGTAAAAGGCTACTAAAGGGAGGGTCAGGCAGGCTGGGGTGGCGAGGGGCGGGGGGTGTTCACTGTGCTTTCCACCTAGAAACACCGTGAAAACCTTCCTGCTTAGGAGATGGAGCTGCCGGACGGGTTGAGTGCAGGGCCTAGGCAGAGCCCCGCCCGGGCCAGCTGACGGCCCCGTGCTGGTGACCCACTCCACAGGGGGCTGCAGACGCGGGGGCGGGGGCGGGGGGGGGGACTCTCCCAGATGCCTGGGCATTGCCCCACAAGTTCCCTGCCCTCCCTGCCTGCCTTCCCTTTTCGCTGACTTCCTGTGCCACGAGGAGTTTTCTCTGACTCGTTAAGAGAGTCTGTTTCCACTGGTTGATGGATGGGATTTCGAGGTGTCATCTGAGGATGAGTGAATGGTTGCAGGAATGCAGTAGAAGTTGGTGTTGCTGCAGAGTCCTGCTGCTTGAGATTCAGAGAACATTCATCTTTGAGGCCGCATCTCTCAGGGATGAATCAGAGCAGCCTCCATACGGGGGCTGCTGCATCGAAGCTGCCAACTGGCTGACACTCTGTCTGGCTCTTATTCTGATAAGTATCGACGACAAGCAGGGTAAAGCCCTTGTTACTCGTCACCATAGAGAACTGTGTGGAGAGTGACAGTGTTCCAGGCAGAAGGCAGGTCCCTCCAGCTCTGGGGTCCACAGCCAGGCGCTGGGCGGCAGCCGAAGGCTTTTCCCCAAGCTCTGCTCGGCCGGGTGCACTGGCCACGACTCCTGGGTCTCCTGGTGAGTCCTGTTGTGAGTCAGGCTGAGGCTCAGCCTTATCGCTTTATTGTTACAGTAACAGAAGCTGATAACCGCTGAACAAGGGGAAGCAAGCCTCGTGGGAGTTGGTGAGAGCGATAACCCGTGACCCGCCTGATGTTGTCACTAGACTCCCAGCCAGAACTCACCAAGGGGGACCCAGCCGAGGGATTCCCGGCCATGCGCCTCCCCTTTATGGGATCCCGGGTTTACATGGAATGCTGGGCATCAGGGGTATGTCCATCCATCAGACATTTACATCTTGAAGGGTTTCCTCCTCCTCTTACTCTCTGACCTTTCTTAGTTTAGAAAGGTTAAAAATAACCCACAAAACACTACTCTCAGGTCTTTACAGAACAGATGTGAATTAAAATGCGGTCTTTTTTTTTTTTTTTTCTCACTATGACATTTTCTTTCACTTTCATGCCTCACCCTCCCCAAAGGCAAACAAAATAAAAAAATAAAAACCCGAAACCTTGGTAGAGCTAAGCTAGTTTTTCCACTTAGTGATTTTTTAAAGAAACTCACCCCTAACATGTGAGAACATAGAATGTGGCACCAGGTTTAGGGAAAACTCCTCTGATCTGGGATCTTGTCTGCCTTGATCTCACCATCTCAGGCTCATCTCCCCCTGGAACTTGCTGTGTCTTCTGGGTGGTCACCTCATCTCTCTGTATTTCTGTTTTCTCTTCTAAAAGAAATTAAAGTGGTAGACCGGGTGGGAGATCCCCAAAGATGTGTTCTTAAAAATGTAGATTCCTGAGCCTCACTTCAGATCCACTGGACCAAATTCCTGGAAGTGGAGCCTGGGGAGCTTTGTTCATTACAAACAAACACGCAGAGC